TTTTTTTTTTAATTCTCATCTGATATTTCTCAGAATATTCAATGAGGAAGCACTAAAAGACTATGAACGCTTCAAAAAACAAGAAGTAAGAGATTTGAAGGAAGTGTTAGCAGCACATATCAAGACTCAAATAATGATATGCAAATTGGTATGTGCCTGATTTACATATAATTTTTACAGATTGCATGTACTTTTCATCCGAGATAGACCTGCATTTCAATGTAATAATAAAATACCAAAATCTGGGAGATATTTTTCCAGACCTTAAATGTGAATTCAAAATTTAAAAAGCACTTTTTACAATGATTTTCCTAATAATTGAGTTTAATAACAAGTCACAATCACAAAGCATTAGCAAGATTTTAAGAAACTTGGTACTCCTTTACTCATCTAAGTGTCATTGCTTCTTCTATGTACTGCGGTAGAACTGTGTGTTTCCTAGGCATCATTGTTAAAATGCGAAAAGGTGAAACTTGTGCAGAAAGGGCATTGAAATGACCTTGAATTTTCTTCCTAAAATCTGTAACATGTGGCAGTTTACCAGTATTTAGTTGCTTGTGATGTTAACTTCAAATGATGATAATGTACAATGTGAGATGTGGAATTCCACATTTTATTGTAAATGTTTTATTTATTTTATTTATTTCATAGGGGATATCTACATGGCAAGATATGAAAGAGACAGCAAAGACTTTGTAACAATGAATCATCAGTAGTTGATAAAATGGAATTTTAAGAATACAAAACTGACTAGAAATGTATTTTTTGCAAGATATGAATTAATCATCTTTTGGTAGTGCATAACTGTAAAATGAAGGAAGATCTCACCACATTGGCTATTACTAGAGTAGGAGAAAATTTCCATCAAGTTTGTCTGAAAAAATAATGTGGACTGGTAATTTTTCAACATCAATCAAACACATAGCACCACACGAACTAATGATAATGAGAGGGGGAGGGGGAGGGGGAAAATATCTCTATTATAATATTTGTTATTTGCTAGATACACTTGGCTTTTTGTGTTGTGCTCCAGTGAAGCCTACTCTGGGGTAACATCACTTAATTGCAAAATCATATTTGAGTTCTTTCAATCATAACTGGTGATCATAATTACAGTTGATCATTTGTAAATAAGTTCAAAAAGAATATATGTAGAATAGAAACACATCTAAAGCTCCAATTTCTTTCTTTTCTCTGATTTTTGAACAAAGGATAATGTGGATTACTGAGTTGGACCCAAATTATTCTATTATAATCCTCAAATGAAAAACCAACTTATTCAGATTAAGTATGGCATCTATTGGATGGCAGTGGTTAATGGCAATTTAACTTCCATTTGCTGCAGTTAGTCAAGTGCCAAGTTGACACAAGTATCTATGGTATTTGAGGAAACAAAGATCTCTAGGCTTGTATAGTTTCAAGGAGAGGATCAATCTCATACGGCTTGTCGATATGGCCATCTCTCTCACTATTCCAAACATACCCTTTTTTTTACAGTGGGTAGAATAAAAAGGCAAGCTGTGTTCACAGCCAGAACTCCAATACTGTGGAACACTGTTATGACTAATGGGCATCTGTAATACTTATTTGTGTGCCTTTACAATTTGTTCTGTTGAGTTTTGTGGCAGTCAAATGAACTAAGTACAGTAAAACTTTTCATGAGATCCTCAACTGAGTGGTCATATGGTCTCATTTCAGTTCCACTCTTTATCTTGCGATAGTTATCACCAGGAACAGAAAGAGAGACTAAAGACTTCACAGCATATTGACTGAATTAGTGGGGTTTAAATAATAAAAATTTTCAGCTCTTCATCAGGAAAAAATATTTTAGTAAAAGCAAGGTAGCTATGTGGCAAGGTTGCGCATCATACAGAAACAAACTAAGATATAAAATGCAACACAAGAGTGAATTCTATACGATGGTTTTATTTTGTTGTTTACAAATTTAGCTTATGCAACCAAAGCAGAGGCTGTAGATGATTCACTGAAACAATAAAACAGAAAAACAGAGTTAATCATTGGCAAACATTTCAATACTCCTGATACTGTATTTTAATTCTTCAAGACTTGTCTTCAGACTGGTTTCATCCATTTCCACCTTTGGTACCTTACACATGACTTCTTTTATTACTTTTCTATGTTGAAAGATGGGTAGAACAATCAATAATGATCTTAAAATGTCTAAACAGATTGTCTATCATTACCCTCCCTTAGTAAAATGAGGAAACTACAATTTGCTGCTGGAAGGAACATGTACAGACAAGTATAACAAGTGAATAACATCAAGTTTTTTAAACTAAGGACCATTTGCAGCAAAAACCAAATGAGCACTTGAACAAATCTTACTATTTCCAGTTGGCTGGCAGAACTCTTTTGGTCTTGTAATAACGGGCCAGACGATGGATCCTACTTTCAATAAGAATCAGCCTGAATTTAGAGTCCTTATCCTGTAATGTAAAACAAAAACAAAAATTATGAAGCTCAATTCCTCTTGGCTCAAAAGGAGTTTGATGGACTATCTTTGCTTTTCATTCCACACTTATATCAACACAGTTGCAGTTGATGATGAGCTTTTTTGCATTATGTATCTGTTATGACCAGTTCTACCTCAAAACCTCTTCCTTACTTGACTAGCTCAATAAGAAATGAAAAAGGTTTGCTAGAGACAGCAACAGAAAACCAAAGAAATTTGAGCAGAAGGTTTTTCCTCCTGAGCTCCTGCTTTATACATTTGTGATTACCCCATCTCCATATTGATCAAAGGGAATTTCTCTTGGATAATTACAGATATATTTATTGTACCTTTACTGTACCAATTTCAAGCCTTCACGTAATATAGAAAGCAAAGGTTACCCACCTTTCGGTGCTTCTCGAGATGCTTGCGGACTGCAACAGCTTTTTTGATAAGGAAATAAAGATCCTCAGGGAGTGATCCAGCAAGCCCTGTGAATAAAAACCAACTTAGAGGATAATGTTTCTTTGGAGCCACCCTGATAACTAACAATTTGCTAGATTTAAGTGACATTAATTGATTAATTGATTTAAGTAATAATTTGGCTTCCAGATAAATTTTACCACAACAACAGACATACAGCACAGTTGAAAATCTAAGTCAACAAAAAGCTGCACACAGGGCAGCAATTTCAAGGATATTATTAACTCTTAACAATCACAAATAAATAAAAGAAATGTTCGGATGGATGCCTTCATATCATTCTCCAAAATATGCAGGTTAGAAATCCATTAGCTGATTGTTTAGTAACAAATATAAGTACCTTTAGCTTTGAGAATCCTGAGAATCTTATTTCCTGTGATGTAACGTACTTGTGCCACACCATGTGAGTCACGCAAAATCACACCTGTATTGAAACAAACGATTCCTTTTTCAGTAGGAGTCTTGAATATTCCTTTGTTTGATCTTCAGTAAATAGCTCTCCAAAAGGTGACAATTCTGGTTGCTACAGCAAGTAGAATAATTATTTGGGGACTGAACTTTCAGCAAAAGTTGCCAAATTAGTAGCCAGAATGCAATGATTTCCCTCTTAAATTTTTATGACCTTAAATTCAATTGAGATAAAGATTTTCATAGAATATTACTACTTCATTTTGTCTCTTTAATTTCTCTAAGGTTGTGTAAGTGCATTGTTTCGAGACACTACGAAAGCTTTCAGGAAAGACTGCCAGTTATTGCTGAGTAAGACTTTTTTCCAGCTATAATTTTCTGATTTTCAGTCACCAAAGAGCAACTTGAAAAAGCTCTGAACTTGAAGCACTGCTACTAGAAAAATTCAATGCTTCTATACTAACCAATCTGAGAAGGAGTCAAGCCCTTCTTGGCTAACTTGTAAATTTGTTCCTTTACATCATCAGCTGTCAACTTGAGCCACTTATATGAACAAAACAGAAAAATATACAAATCACAATTAGTTAACAAGCATCATTATTGTTGACTGAATAAGTGAAACTACAATATTTTTTAAAACACCATAAATCCCAGGTAAATTGATGCCTTGTATTTGAAAATGCTGCATTTTCAATGTTAACCATTCAATAGACCAAATTACTCTGACATTTCTCAATGAACATACAGTTCAACTCACAACTGAGGGAAATTTATAGTAGTTCAACGTTCGTTTGGCTCCTTATCCTTACATTAAAAATAAGACTTCTTTAATTCAATAATCTGCAAAAATTAAAAAATGTACAATCAATTTCTTTACCACTCATCAATCACATGTAAGAAGATCACCCATCGAAAAGTATGTCGAATGATGCTGTTTTTTAAGCATTGTTGTTGAGATCAACTCAAGACAAAATTCAAAGTAGTTCATCAATATCTGAGAAAATTCTTAATTTCTACGGCATCAAAGCTGAAAACGAGTCTTCAAAACAATAAAAAAATGTTAGCGCATGAAGACAAATAGAAAATTCACCCATAAAGAGCATGTATGCGTGTGTACTTATGAAGAAATTTAACTTATTTTCCTTAATCCACAAGCAATTATATCGTAATTATCTCACCGTTGGGACACTTCGGCGATAAGGCAAAGCTGAACCAGATATACCTTTCCTTTGAAAAAATATCAGAAAAAAGTCAGGAAAGTTGCGAAGAAACGAAGAGCTTGAAGTTCCGATAGAGCATAATCCACATCATTGAACATGCCTCTAACACTCTATTTAGAGTACAAAGCTACATTCTGAGCATATCAGCTGGTTCAAACACTCTTTAACGTTTTTCTTGTCAATTTTCCTTACCCTGGTGCGTGTAATCGACCCATTCTGGGAGTTTTCTTGTAGCACTTACGGAGCTACAGTAGAATCCAAGATGGCCGCAGAAAAAGAGGGCTAACTCACGTGTCGGAAAAGCTTAATTTCCCAGGATTCCAATAAGGGGCATACTAGTCCCCAGCTTCCCTCCCAACAGTGCGATATCGACCCAAAGCCGCACAAAGTTGACTCAAAGTTTTTTGTTTTCGATTTTACCCTGACATTTGAAAAATACATCCGGTTGATAGGACAGAGATTTTCTTTTTCATATGCAAAAAAAAATTCCCAAAAAAAGTCATTGGATGGTCATGTCAAGCATCTGACTGAAATTATTTTGCCACTGCTCCATGTCACCTGAGCAGTGTTTAGCAATCATTCAGTACCTTTCGCATGTTTTTATCGCTTGCCTCCAATTAAGCAGTATTTTTTTACTATTTTATTTGACAAAAAGTTCAAAAAGTTATGACTACCTTCTTGTTCATATTCCAAGAAGCATGTGTTTGTGTATCATTTATTTCATTTCAGCAAAGATGAGGATAAACACAGAACAGCTGGAGTAAAAAATGATACAGAAGAGAAATGAAATACAAAAATAACCTTTATTTCATATTTTGATTCACACCAGAATTTAAATGAAGGGTTATTCTGAGAAGAATAACATGCCACAATCTTTCCCCATTCCATCTAATGCAACAAGATACAAGTTTTCTGCAAATAAATGATTCTAGATAAGAAAATTCAACAAATAACAATCTAAGAAAACAAAACACAAGCTCAATAGCATGTTCCAGAGATCAACTCAGAACTACTTTCAGTTTATATTTTTGCACCTCTGAATATGTTTAATGCTTTGTGAGTTTTGAAGTAACCTGTTACAAAATGGACATTGCACATGCCCTACTTCTCTTACATGCCTCTTGAATACTTCTTCATTCTTGCACTTCTTTCCACAGCCCTGGCACCAAACTGTGACATCATCATCAGTTTGACCTTCTTGCACCAAAGCCCTACCAAAAGGACACTTCTTCTTGTGCTTCTTGGAAATTTCCGACAAAAAAATCTGTCCACATTTGCACTGAGGATGAATTGTGCTGTGTTTATTCAGGCTATCTTGACCTTTAACCTTTTTGCCACACACTTGACACTGGAGAGTTTTTACATGCTTCTCCTCATCATCCTCCTCCATAAACACTTGTTCTTGGCCCTTTACCATTTTCATGTGCAGGTAAATTTTCAATCCAATCCATGCATCTAATGCAGCATAGTGAATTTGTTTAAGTCTCAAGGGAAATCTCTCCCAATTGCTCATGGACACTGACTTTGGTTTTTCCAGGTCAATTCCAAGGAAATGTTTGGCAAGAGCTTTAAGCCCTAGCTTCTGTGAAACAGGAATACCAATTGACTTGGCCATTTTCTGTGTATCCATAAGCCCCTTGCAACTAAGTCCTGTGTCACGATTTAGCTTTGTTACATCTTGTAAAATTCCACTTCCAACTTTTAAGATCAACTTGTTACTCAAAACATTCCTCAACAACACTGGTTTTGACTCCATATGGCAAAGGTGCAAAACCAAACATGATCCTTCAACACTCAGCTGCAACACTGCAGTCTTGTTTTCTACTCCTCCGTCCTTCTTCCTTTTCAGTTGGGGCTTCCACTCAATGTCTAAACCAACTGCTTGTGCAGAACAATCAATAACATTATTCTTTAACCAAGCCTCTGCTTCAACTGGGTCTTTGGTGTATTGCACTTCAACACCTTCGGCTGGATAAGGCAAAGTATGGATAAGAGTCTTCCCTCCTCCAGGATTATGCTTATTTCTCCTCATATCTGGCTTTGAGACATGGTTTATTTTTCTCCTGCCATTTGCTACGTCACTAGTCTTGTTTAACATAGAACCATGTTCAACTTCTTCATTATTGTCCATCATGGTACCATGCTTGACTTCATCACCAGTATTTTGAGGCAAATTACAGGTCAATGTTTCCTCAGACCCTTGAGTAACAGGGTTTCTTAATTCAGAACTTGTTGTACATGTCTCAACACTTTTATCTGAAATGCTACTTTGTTTCTTGCCATTCCCTGATGTCTGACTGCATACGGAATCTACTACGTTTCTCTTAAAATTTGGATTTGAAGCAACAGCCCTTCGAATGTTAGAAATCAATTTTTCGACCGTCAGATGACTACCTTGACCAGAACTTGTAGCTGAGTAATTGGAATGACGGCTTTCACGGAACCCCAAAGGATGTTCGAATTTAACTTTGCGCGTCTGGTGATTCTCATAAGCATCAGCCAGTCGATCGGAACGCGATTGTCTAGCTTCAGGTTCCAGGATGTTTCTCTCTGCTGTCCTTTCAATCCAAAACTTTCCCTTTTGAGCATAATCGTGAGCACGGTCATTACAAGTTGTCCATGATAACGCTGAATAACTATATTGTTCTCTTACAGTTGGATTACCTGGCTCCTGTTTGATTACAAACTGTGACGATACCTCATAAGCTCCACTATAAGATGTTCCACCATAAGATTCTGATGCTTTACTCTTGAGAATGCGATCGTTAATACTTTCAGCTTTGCGACGCAGAAGGTAATCCCAACCTGGCAGTTGACTTTTACCGCCATTATCTGGTGCAGAAGTTGGATACGGTGATGATGAAAAGTTCTTATCTTCAAACACTCTTTCTTGCTTGACAGCGCTCGATTCTGTCCAATGTTTGTAGGGATGTTGCCTGTATCGCGTTCGATTGCGATAAGGGCGGCTCATATCCGTGCAATGAGTAAACTTCTCTCAAATCGACATGAGCTACATCAAAACTCATGGAAAACACGAAATCAATGAACATTAGCAACCAAGCCGAAGCAATATGACCGAGTGGCACCCTGGATACCAAGCACTGCTGAGTCAGAGTGTCGCGGTGCATTAGTGTTAACCCTGATCCAAAATGACGGAAAGATACAGCTTTAGTCTAACAACTTTCAGGTAGAGTTTAATTATTTTATTCTCTCTTTCCCTCTAAGACCTAAAAGAATCTTTAGCAGTACAAACAAGATGTTATTTTGGCTAATTAGTCCGTCGGGAAATATGAAACAAGTCACCCAGAATCAGATCTCCTACCTTGCCTTCACGTAGACTGCATTGTCTTCCATACCGCTTTTATTGAAAAATTTTCGACAACTATCATTTCTGTTGGTGTTTAACCAACTCCCAAGTAATTTTAGAGTGTGAAAATTGGTGATTCAGTAATTTATAGCTTCTACTGTTCCTTTTGTGAACATCTGTGTACCATAACCATGGTCTAAATAACGTTAACACGTGCAAGTAAGCTTGAGCACAGTACTAGTTAACAAATAGAGAAGCCTTGACTGTGCTCTGTTCTGTTATAAAGCACACAATAAGCGGCTAGGGCACGAAAGAAGTTTAGGGAGAAACACTTTACTACGTCTCGTGTTTCTCCCCACTTCTTGAGTGGGGAGAAAAATTTGACAAAATGACAAAATTTGAGAAAGAAACTAAACATTGGTTGTACGTTTTAATAAAAAAATAACAGTTAACTCAGCAAAACACAAGGAAACAGTATGCACACATGGTGCATTCTGTCCACTTTCACAGGCATGACATGTTAACTGTCCCTTCAATTGTCCTATTACACTGTCAAATTACAAGCATGATGTGTACACTGTCCTATTAGTACTAAAATCAGGCTGGTGATAACCAATCATGTTTGAGAATTTTGTTATAGTTTTGATTAAACCAGAAATCAATTTAAACTTCAACAAACACACCTGGGAAATGGCTATTTTTGGAATAGTTTTTAAAATCTTTAAATTTGCAAAAATTTCTGTGGACTTGCAAAATTTGCTCTATCACAGTCAGGGGAAGAAGACAAAAATCTCTACAAAGTTTTGCTAGAGTGTGTTTTTATATTTGGTCCACAGTCCTTCTGGAAAACTTGTTCAGATAGAATATGCTCTGGCAGCTGTAGCAGCAGGAGGGCCTTCTGTGGGTATAAAAGGTCAGTTTTAGTGACAGTAAATAGTCTTGAATATAGGAGAATGTCATGAAATGAAAACTGTATTCACTGTGAATTATTTCATCGACATGTCCCTTAAAACAAGCCCTCATCAAATAAGTGCCCCTCCTATCAACCAGAAATTTAACTCTGTAATCCCTTACGCTGATTACCATCAAATCTCTCCTTACAATATCAACCCTGAAAATAAGGGAGATGATTGTTCTCTAAAGAGGCTTGTGATTGTTCAGCAAATTCTCAATTTCTGCACCATAGCAATTTCATAGGGAAAGTATGGAGGATAAGTACACTGATGTATCTGAAGGGTAAATTGTCATCCCCTATGCTCTGCCAATAAGATAGAAAGCTGATCACATTTGTTTAACCAATCAAGTGGGCAATTGTAGTGTAAGTTTTGTACATTTAGGTTTTGTTAGTAGCCCTAATATATACTTTAAGTTTTACTTTAAATTTTTTACTTTTTTAAAATATTTTTAAAAAAGCATCAAATGGAGTTGTCCTTGCTGCTGAAAAGAAACAGAAGTCAGTGTTATATGATGACAGTACAATCAACAAGGTTTGATCCTATTTGTTACAATCAAAAACATCGCTGACAAATTAAAATGGTGAACTTATTTATATCCAGCATTTGCACATAAAATCACATTGTTTTTGTCATATATTTTACCAATAAAAAGAGTTGGTTATCAAGAAGGAGGCAAGATGCTTTTGTTAATTTTCATTTTCCTTTTTAAAATTTGGGCATTTTATATTGAAAATTTTGTCAGTGTATCTTATGCATAACCTAGGACTTGTTGATTTTTTGAGGCAGGCTATTGTAATGCAGTAGCTTTGTGTTCAAGCCCTGCACTACTACAAGTTAGATTTTGTGGTTGCCCTGAGTTCGACAGCTTAGCTGCACTTCATGAAATGATAAATAGCCAACTGATTTGCCTCCTCCTTCCAGTTGGCTTTTTTTACAGCTTAACACTCTGAGTTTAATTGAAAATGTTCATTCCATTGTTTGTTCATATTGGCCCTAAAAAACCCCATCATACTAGGAAGTTATCTGTGAAGATTTTCTTTTACCTTTTGCTTTCAGGTGGAAATGGTGACAAAGAGTGTTGGAATGGTTTATAGTGGAATGGGCCCAGACTACAGGTTTGTTTGTGGCTTCTACTTCTATATTTGATGCTTTGCCTTCCTTCTGCTAGTTCTGCTAATCTTCTTCAGATGAAATGAGTTGATTTTCTCAAGTTTGCATAAGAAGTGAAATAGGAAAGGTTGAATGTTTAATAATTTGATATATTCAGTGTTAGTCTTTGGTTGATCTGGTCATGAAGAACTCATTTCCAAATTGCTTTGGATACGAAAAACAATTCAATCCACTGTGTGGCTGGTGGGAAAAAAAAGACAAAGCTAAACAAAAACCGTTTAATATGAGATGAGAGCTGTGACCATCACTCAACTTTTATATAGAATTTGATTCAATCTAGATTCCGTTTTCAAATATGTAGTGGTAATTTTTTTTTGCCAAAAGTACTACTTTTTTTCACTCACAGAGTTCTGGTTCGACATGCCAGGAAGATAGCACAGCAATACTATCTAATGTATCAGGAGGAAATACCAACTGCACAGTTGGTTCAAAAACTTGCATCCGTGGTCCAGGAGTACACCCAGTCAGGGTAAGTACACTACCAGTAGTGCAACTAGCAGAAGAAAATCTCGTAAATTAGTCAATGTTATTTTTCAAGTTGTGTGTACGAGATTTATTGCTGTCTCATTATTTTTGTGTCTTTTTCTAGTGGTGTTCGACCATTCGGTGTGTCTCTTCTTGTTGCTGGGTGGGATGATGACAGGCCATACTTATTTCAATGTGATCCATCGGTAAGGAAGTAATTTGTGTTCTTTGTAAGATGTAAGAGACACACTCTAATAATTTTACATAAGGTTATAGGATCAATATCAGTATCTGGGCAACTGCCCACCTACCCCTTCCTTTACCCAACATTAACCTTAACTTGTTATCAATTGACTGTTGTTGAGTTAGGGGAGGGGTAGGTGGGCAGTTGCCCAGATACTAATATTGATCCAGGTTATACATGTAAGTTAATATGACAACCGGCCATAAGATGGAGTTGTGCAGTATGAAACCAAATTTTACAAACAGCTCACAAAGGGAGAATACAGCTTGTAGCCTGCGGTGTTACAAATGATTAACAACAGTCAATTAGGACTGACAAACTGTCATGAAACTTATCAGGCTTGTGAAGTATATGGTTAGTTCATACTTTCTATTAGAGAGTCTGCTGCTTGACTGTCTCTTTTCCTGTTAAGAGTAGTTTTTGTTACTATCGGAAGGTTCTTGCAGTAAAAAATTTTAACTCAGACTACCTTACATTTTTGTTGACCTACATGGTACCACCTTAGATCAGTCACTTTCATCTCACAGATATTAACTAATCTCTATGAACAAAACACTTACAAAATTGTGTGTATTTCAGGGATCGTATTTTGCCTGGAAGGCCACTGCTATGGGCAAAAACTATATCAATGGCAAAACCTTTCTTGAAAAGAGGCAAGTTCTATATACTGTGATTATCCTTTAGATATGCCTTGATTAATCAAATCCAAATTTCACAGTCTGTCATGTCACTTGTTGCTTTGTTTGTTTGTTTGTTTGTTGAATAATACAAATGGAAGATGGTTATATATTCAAATCACCAAAACTAAAGTCTTGAGATTATAACTGGAGAGAATTGATGTTAACTCTTTCAGTAATTGGCACAATAGTGTAGATGGCATCCACAGATCCAAAAGTTGGAAAAACATGTCTTCTCAACTCTTGATTTTATTTTTGAGGGATTGTTACCTGACTTTCCCAATGTGTAAATGACCTATTTTGTTGTCTTGTGCTTCAAGACATAGGTTCATCTCTAGTTTGATGAACTTTCCCATTTTTGTCATTGGTCTCTATTTTAAGATCTCATTTATAGTTAGATGACATCTTCACTTTGCAGGTATAATGAAAATCTTGAATTAGAAGATGCTATCCATACAGCAATCTTGACTCTTAAGGTGAGTTCACAACAACAATTTTTTGAACATCATTTTCCTAAAAAGTGGTAATTGTTAAGAATAATGTTTTTCTAAAATTGTATTTCCTGAGGTAAAAGGAGATTGCCTTAGCCTAACAGGCTGGGAAATAAAATGAGAAAGTGCTAGACTACTAGGAACTACTAAACTGCTCTCTCCTTTGTTTTTGTCGCAATGCAGGAGAGTTTTGAAGGACAAATGACAGAAGACAATATTGAGTTAGGGGTGTGTAATGAGCAAGGCTTCCGTCGTCTCACCCCTGCAGAAGTAAAGGACTACTTGGCCTCTATCATATCTTAATTTAGACATCATCTTCCTTGATATTGGTAATAGACAAGCTGTCTCACTGCTAGTGTTTTTTTTTAAGTTTCCCTTGCTTTGAAGTGTTAAGGAGCCAAAACATGAAGGACTGTGGAAGTTGGAAGTTATCATTAGACTCAAGTGTTCCTTATGCAGGAGCATCTTGTTTGACAACTGCTGTAGTTTTTGCCATGTTTAACAAAATCAGCTGAAATTATTTGCTACTGATCATTCAGGAACATCTTATTTAAATCTTGATGAGGTTAGAATCATTAGATATTGATGGTAGTTTCATTCTAGTTCTGGCAGTCACATCTTTTAACAAATATTTCCCTTAGTATGTAGGTTTTCAAAACAAAGCCCTCTACAGAATAAAAAAAAAATTCTCTAGTTGTGAATTTATGCTGGATTATTCCTTGAGAGGGAATGACAAAGAGTTAACACTCAAAACATCAGCTTGGCAGCTGCTTGCAATGGCCAATTTACATCATCAACTAAGCTAATGGAACCAAACCATCCTTTTATACTCCCACTGACCCAGCATTACAGTTTCTCTACAAACTTATCTCCTTTATTTATTCTTTAATAACTTCTTTTAATGATGCTAGGTGGGTGTTACATGTCAATGAGTCCTGTCATGGCATCTTACTGCAGTCAACCTGACTACCAGCTGTTACTCAGAATAGTCAACCCTGCTTCCTCCTCCCCTATGTTCCTCCCCCCCCCCTTACTCCATTCCTTATCCCCCTCCCTTAATACATGGGTAGTGGAAATTGATTGAACCCATATAAATTTTTTGAAACTATCTGTAGCACGTCATTGAAGTATTGGTAGAAAGTTTCTTGAGAGTTGATGGACATTCAGGGGAGGAGAG